ACGGGGAAGGAAGTGAATGATGTGCCTGCATGTCCAGCCAACAGAAATCTCAGCTGGCTCTGGCAGGCAAAGTCCCCACTTGAATGGGGTGTGAGGCCACCTCCAAGCCTGGGCAGTTTGCCTCCAGCTGCACTTGTTTTTGTTTTTGTTGCAAAGTCACCAAGACCTCCAAGAAACAAAGCAACTGAGTTTATTGTTTTGTTTTGTTTGAATGAGTCAAACTTGCCAGGGACATGAAGCTCAAGTCTGCCCACCATATTCTTATGCTTCCCTTACCCAACGCCAAAAAAGTTCTAGCTAACAGCTCCCTTCCTTCACCCACATGCGCTAATATTCTGTAGCCCTGTAGCCATGACTGTTTATAACCTTGGGCTTCTAGACTAGTGAGGAAAATTGTGCTCTATATAAAAAAAATGCTTTCCCATCACATATCACTTTTCTGTTTGTTTATAGAAAGATCATTTAGAAAATGAGGTAAAGAGAACTGACTGCCCTTTCTTTTCTAATGGAGAACAAACATCTGGACTTTCTCCACCTCTGATTGCAGTTTCATGACAACCCTGAGTGTGTGATCTGGATCCATTTCAGGGGAAACTGCAAGAACCCAGGGTTTCACCCAAAAATCAGACGCCCATTTACTTCCCTGTTTTACTGCTTCACATGACCACTGAGTACTCCCAGCACCGCTGTTAGTGGCTCACTGTACCAAGAAGGTCAGGCCAGGAGGATTTAGAGAAACAGGCTGTTTCTGCACAAGGGCATGAGTCATTCTTAAGAAAGTGTCCTGGGGAACCAAACTTGCAGTTCATCTTTTTTTGTCTGGTCTTGACAGCAATCTTAAAATGCCAACGGAACTGACTTGGGGGCCCTCTGCATGACTGTGTGAGAGACTTGGAAAAAGGAAAGTTACAGGGAAGCTGTGACACAGCTTCTAGCGAGGGATGGGCCAACTGGCCTTCACTGGGAGGGCAGGGAAAGTGGCTGTGCCCTTTTACAGTTGGTCCAAAGGGCCCTCCAGGGAGCTGTCAGGAACACTGAGTCACAGAGTTTACCCACCCAGGAAGGCTTGCCCTTCTGGGGCAGGGGGCACTATCTTAGCTGTCACTGCATGGTCTAAATGCGCTGCCAGATCCCTTAGCACAGCGGTTCTCAACCTGTGGGTCGCGACCCCTTTGGCGGCCGAATGACCCTCTCACAGGGGTCGCCTAAGACCATCCTGCGTATCAGATATTTACATGATGATTCATAACAGTAGCAACATGACAGTTATGAAGTAGCAACGAAAATAATTTTATGGTTGGGTCACACCATGAGGAACTGCATTTAAAGGGCCAGAAGGTTGAGAACCACTGCCTTAGCACTTAGGACCTACTGCTTTCTCAAACATTTCCATGGAAAGGCGACAGCAAGTTTGTTACTAAGTCTGGTTATAAGCCCATTGTCTCCATGTGCAGTATAATAAGTTCAGCTGCATGAAACCAACCAAACCATTCCCCATATTTCCTTTTACAGATGCTTGGATCCAAAGGCAAGAGCAATAGTAAACAGCAAGAGGGCTGGGAGGTGTTTGACTGTTCTGAACTGTCAAGATGAAATCTCTCTAAACCAGTGGTTCTCAACCTTGGCTGCACATTAGAATCACCTGGGAATCTTTTTGAAATCCTGATTTCTGGGCCCCATCCTCCGGAAATTTGTTCCTTTGTTACTAATGTTGTGGCCCCACCCCATCACAAAGAAACAGAATTTCCGGAGGATGAGGCCCAGAAGTCAGGATTTTAAAAAGATTCCCAGGTGATTCTAGTGTGCAGCCAAGGTTCAGAACCACTGAAACCCTGGCTATCCAGCTGGCATTGGCCAGCTTTTCTGGTAAAATTAATATTGACTGGCCGTAGGTCTGTGGAGAATACTTTGGAATAGGGCGACCATATCCTCCCAGAGCCGTAAGTGAAATGAAGACATCCAGCACACTTTTTGCCCAGGTTTTCTCAGGGTGAATTTTAAGATATCCTAAACTGTTATGCTCTAAATTTGTTTCCAAGTGCACAGTTCTTGAACCCTGTTTACTAGTCTTTCATCAAAGCTCAAGTCAAACAGCAACTTTTCAAAAAGAACTTCTCATTGAAACCACATGTTCCCAACTGCCACGAGGGCCAATTCTAATATAACCGCAAAGGTCTTCTGGAGCACCATTGGAGTGGGTACCAAATCTCCAATGTAGCTCATTGAAAGCTCTTCCCAACATGCCCAGAACTTTCAGAGGGCATGGCTTTGTGTTCGTTAAGAGACATAAACACCAAGGGTCATAAACACCAAGGATGCCTTATCAGGCTGTGACCACCCTCAAAGAGAAAAGAATCAGAAAAGCATCCTCTGTACTCCCTCACAGCACCACATTTTGCAACACTTGTCACATGGGATTTGGTAGATGGAGTCAGTTAGAACAGTGGTCAGCAAACTCATTAGTCAACAGAGCCAAATATCAACAGTACAATGATTGAAATTTCTTTTGAGAGCCACATTTTTTAAACTTAAATTATATAGGTAGGTACATTGTTATTAACTTTATTAGGGTCCTCCTAAGCTGGCCTTTGCTAAAAACGTCCTCAATCTGATTGAGGTACGTTCGCTGAGGTCGACCCCTTCCAACTCTCCCATCCACACTCGTCTTGTATACTTGTTTCATCTATCTCAGTGGTCAGCAAACTCATTAGTCAACAGAGCCAAATATCAACAGTACTTCTTCAAAACAGACTCTCCCAGGCCGAAAACCGACTTCTGCGCATGGGCCACGAAGTTTCAATCACACTCTATGTGCGCGCCCGCACGTGGTATTTTGTGGAAGAGCCACGCTCAAGGGGCCAAAGAGCCGCATGTGGCTTGAAAGCCGCAGTTTGCTGACCACTAAGTTAGAAGATCTGATGGAATCTGAAATATGCAGACGGGACTTGGGATGAAGTGCAATGATGTGTTTAATTCAATGCTGGCTGGAAGAAAAAGCAACACTTGACATGACTTCACAGACAACATGTGCATGTGGTCAGTAAAGCTTCCTACTACACTGTGCTTCATGCCTGCATCTGCCCATCAAATCCCTCTCGAGCTCCCAGGTACCAGGCACTATGCTCAGCACTGCATATTTAATGCTGATCAAAATTGTTCTTGACTTCCAAGGGCAAATAATAACATTTTGGAAACCAATTCCTGCTCTTATAACTCTCCTTTCCTCCAGTTGGCCTGCCCAGGAAATGCCAGCCTGGGAAAGGAACAAAACCTGGAGACAAAGTCACCTGCCAATCCCACAATCAGGGTGATATGGCAGCATTAAAACATGTTGACCACTTCGTTGACACTCTTCCCATCAAGAGGTTACAGTCTCTGTCCCCTCCCCTTAAATCTGGGCTGGCCCTAGCAACTCGTTATAACCAATGGAAACTCACAGAAGTGATGCTGTGAGACTTCCAAGGTTAGGTCAGAAAAAGGTATGGCCCTGGCCGGTTTGGCTCAGTGGATGGAGTGTCGGCCAGCGAACTGAAGGGTTCTGGGTTGATTCCAGTCAAGGGGAGGCTGTTGCAGGCTCCTCCCTGGCCTGACCCCTGGTCAGGGCACATACAGGAGGCAACTAACAGATGTTTCTCTCTCACATCAATATTTCTCTCTGTCTTTCCCTCTCCCTTCCACTCTCTCTAAAAATCCATGGGAAAATATCTTCGGATAAGGACAAAAAAATTTTTTTAAAGAAAGAAAAGGATATGTAGCTTCCATCTTGCTGGCTGGGGCACTGGCTTTTGGAACCGTAAACCATCATATAAGGAGTCCAGTTCCCTGAGGCCCCATGGAGAAATCAGTTCAGCATTCGAGTTGGCTGTCCTTATGCGAGTCCTCCCAGCCCCGGAAGCACACATCGGAGCCAATCAGCCTTGGGATGATTCCAGCCTCAGCCTCACATTATCCCAGGCCTTCTTCATGGAGCAAAGGCAAGCCACCCCTACTAGGCCCTTTGTAAATTCCTGACCTAGAGAATCCATGAGTAGAAGAAATTGTTCACTCTCCTACGTTTGGGACAGTTTATGATACAGCAATAGTAACTGGTGCAGATGGTCATACCAAGGGCCATCAGGATTCTCTGCTGCTGCAGGTACTCTTCCCTGCCCTCATACTAACTCAGTGGTTCTCAACCTTCTGGCCCTTTAAATACAGTTCCTCATGTTGTGACCCAACCATAAAATTATTTTTGTTGCTACGTCATAACTGTCATGTTGCTACTGTGATGAATCATAATGTAAATATCTGGTATGCACGATGGTCTTCGGCGACCCCTGTGAAAGGGTCGTTCGACCGCCAAAGGGGTCGCGACCCACAGGTTGAGAACCGCTGTACTAAATGCTGCCACAGGGCTCTTCCACTCATCGCCTCTACAGCTTCCCTCCCTCACACTCTGCTCTGGGCTGTCACTGCTTCCACTGCCTCGCCCAAGCCTTCACTGTTTGCCTTGCTGTGACCTTTAGCCTGCACAGGGGTGAGGGCTGCTACTCTGCAACCTAAAGGCTGGAGGGAAACTCAGAGAGCTTAGAGGATCCCAGGCTCTTGAACAGGAGAGCCTGCAATCACACCCTTTCCTTCCTCTGCCTGGATACCACTGAGAGACTCGGAATCAGTCACCATTTATCCCATACATCCATTCGTGGAAGGCAGCGAGTTGGGGACTTAAACACTCTTTCTGGCCAGCCCACCTCCTTAATATGTTGTTTATGAACACTGTCTCTGGGGTCAAATCCTGGCTCCATCACTTTCTAATTCTTTGGCCTTATATAACTCACTGAAACTCTCAAACTTTAATTTCTAATCTGTAAAATGGGATAACAGTACCTACCTCATAAGGTTCTTGTCAAGATCACAGTGAGGGAATTCATGTCAAGTGCCTAGTGTGTAGTAAATGCTCAATAAATTTTAGCTATTTTTAATATTATCTTTCCTGAGAAGAAGCATGTCTTGTGACTTACCCCTTGTAAGACTTGAAAGCTGTCGTTGTTGGGTGGTGGGTCTTGATCTGGGTCAACACCAACTCTATAAGTCACCAGGGAGAAAGACAAGGAGAAAAACAGAGAGTATTAGCTTGGACCATGACAGCCATTCTGGCTGAAACTTGGCAAGAGGCTGACCATCTTCCCGAAGCAGAAGGAATGATTAGCTAAAAGAAGAGAAAGACTGTCATGCAAAAGTCATGAGAAGGAGGTTATACACATCAGATCCCAGGGATAGGAGGGGCCATACAGCCTGTGTGCTTACACCCTGAGCAAGGCCGCTGAGGAACATCACCAGCTGGCAACTGTTGGTCTGCCTTCCTGTCCCAGACTGTCCGTCCTAAAAGTGTGGGTCCCACTGCACCAGGCTTTTCCTCTCCACTGCTTCCTCACATCTGCCCTGCCCTGCTTTTATTTCCCTAACCTTTTGTTATGAAACCTCTCATATATCCAGGGAAGTGTTGAAAGAATTTATAGTGAACACCTAAATACCCACCACCTAGATCCTACCATTAACATTTTGCTATACTTTATTACATCTCCATCCATCTCTCTATCACCCATCTTAATTTTTGGATGAATTCAAATAAAATCGCAGGCATCAGTACACTTCCTCTAAATACTTCAGCATGCATATCTCTAACTTTTTTTATCCTGGTGCTGCCATGTCTTCCCACAGCAGAGATGACCTATGAAGTCACATATTTGAAATCAACAACTAAAGACAGAAAGCAAAGTGCCAAAATCCACTTATAGCAAATTCATAAAAGCACTATCTTAGCTTAGTAACATACCAACTATCGCCCTGTGCATCTGGTAATTCTTTATCCCTGTGCCTTCCTGATTCTGACACAGAAGACATGGATAGCATGGAGCAATGAAGGAGAAAACAAAGATGCCAGGGAATTTCTCTATCTTCCCTCACTTCCTCCAGTATCACAAAGAACAGATGGCATTATAAAAGGTAAACAGAACACAGTTTTCAGCAGGTCTGATTCAGCAAGAGAGGTGCTGAATGGCCTTGAGCAGGGGTGTGACCTGCAGTCCAGTACCAGGGTGCTGACTCCAATGAGCAGGCCAGCAGATGCACAGAGCCCTGTGTATGCACGTCTTACTTTTCCTTCTCTCCTTCCCTCCTCCCCACCTGTGATGCCCAGCATATTTCTTGAGAAAAGAGACTAATGGAAAAGGGGAATAGAAGATAGCACAGATGCACCCCACCTGCAAAACCAACCTCTACTCTCTTACTCCAGACTTGTTAAGCACTAACCCAAGGTGCATGCCCCTGGACAAGGGGGGGGGGGCGCATATAGAAGAAAAAGAAGCAGTTACCCCATATTTTGCTGAAGGCAAAGCTTAAACCCACAAGATGAATCCATGGATTCAGCAAATATTTATTAAGTACCTACTATGCCAGGCACTGTTATAAGCACGTCCATAGTGTACCTAGTGTCAGATTTCCTCCCCATGGGCCTGAGGTTTGATGGGACCTTTGTAGTGAATTAGATGGGCTTTGCTTTGTACATAGGCTGCTTCTAGGCAGGAGTTTTTGAAAGATGGAGTCTTATCCTCCCAACTGGACATTATCCTGGGATTCTGAGCAACAAATACAGCGATTTTTTAATATGAAATCCACCTAATTCAGAGGTCCCAGGACTATCCACAAAAGTAACACCAGAGCATCAGTGCACCCAAAGTGTCTAATGTATAAAAGTGGTAGAGGTCATCAACTGAATTTCTAGCTGTGATCCTGAACCCCCACCTGTTTGTTTGTTTGTTTGTTTTAATGCGTTTTTATTGACTTCAGAGAGGAAGGGAGAGGGAGAGAGAGAAAAACATCAGTGATGAGAGAGAATCATTGATCGGCTGCTTCCTGCACACCTCCCTACTGGGGATTCAGCTTGCAACCAGGGCATGTGCTCTGATTGGGAATCGAACCTTGACCTCCTGGTTCATAGGTCAACACTCAACCACTGAGACACACCAGCCAGGCTGAATTATCCTTATTTTCAATAAGCATGAGACAAATGTGGAAATCCCACACCAACTGAGAAAATAAGCAATCAAATGGATGTGTACATTCTGGAATGATTAAATACAAAAAAATGAATAATTGCTCTTCTGGTATAATATGTACATTCTGATTAACTGTCATAAAAAGGCTGTAAAATTTCAGAAACTTTAGAACTTCTACAATTTAGAAGTTTAGAACTATCTGAGGTCCTAAATAATCTGAGGGATATTAGACACGCACCTTCATACAAAACCTTGAACAACAGATCAGAATCTGAATTCTCTCACATCCCAAGTGTAATAATTTGCACTTTCCACTTCCTTCTTAAAAGTGGAATATTTCAAAGGAGGGGGTTTCCTCTGCCAGTTAATCAGTATCTAAAGTCAGATCTCTGAAAATAAACCTGTGTGTGTATTTTAAACAGAAAAAAGTTTGAACCCAGGAAACTTAAATGTGTCAATTAACTGTATGAGTGTCATTACAGTATACATCCAAGGCCTAGTGATATCCCAAGATCCATGCACCATGGCAGCTATAGCTGCTTTCATCACTGTGCTTAAAGGGTGAAATGCTTTCCCAATGCCAAGAACAGAGTTCAAGCCTATTTTGCATTTATATTATTGACCAGCACCCAAAATCAGACCAGGAAGAAAGCATGCTGGTTAAAGATGCAGAAGGGAAAGAACATTAAAGTCTTCATTCTGATTGTTCAATATCACCACCCTTAAGCTTAATCAAATCAAAAACCTGGATGCACACTGAGCAACAAATTGCATTAGAAGAGCCTTTAATTATCCCCCGGTTTAAAAACACCTGTTTTTTGTACCTTCTGATTCACCATGATAAAGCACAAGTACACAAAAAACATACTTAGAAAACGAAAACAGTACTTAATTAGGATGGTGTGAGCCATATGCCAGCCATGGGTGAAATATAAAATTCTGGTTCTCTTTATAAGTTGGAAGCCTTGTTTACTAGAAAATAAGCAGAATTTTGTGGGGAAAGTATGTGTGGCTCTGCAAATGTGCTGCTCTCAACACGAAGGCCAGTTGTACAAGGAGACACTCGCCAGCACTGTTCAAAATGCAGGGTAAGTGGACACAATCTCAGGAACAGATACATCAACCAGCCAAGAGAAAGCGTGGAAAAATGATTAGACTTGACCTCCCCTCTTGCCCCTTTGCTAAAAGGAGCAGAGGGTTGGCACACACAAGAAGAAAGAGACAAATGGCATAAAGAGAAGCACCTCATGTTAGAAAGAGGTTAGAAAGAGGGGAAAGCCAGGCCCAGTTAATTTGTTTCTGAGGCTGCCCTTGTGTCACCTGAAGTAGTGCCAGTGGAGTTCATTCTGGTCCTCTTCAAAGGGCTCCTCGACGCCAACTCTGGGCAGTAGAAGAAGGGAACATGAGTGTGACAGGGACAATAGGGGAGCCAGGGGCTCTGGGCACATGACCTGGACTGCGTCCATCAAAGAATAGATGGTCTCACTTTAAACATAAATCCATACCCTTTCTTACACTATTCCTGCTCTCTAAAACCTGGAGAGGCAGAGGGGCTGCTAAGTTTACATTTAAAGCAACAATGTTAGGAGCAGGTCAAATGAGGATCAATTTAGAATGAAGATAAGCCTCTCAAAATATAATGAAATGAAATCAGAGGAATAAATGCAACTCAGCAAATGAATTTCTGCAATTTTTTCAGGAATTCATTTGTTTCATAAAGCAAGACACATCCAAACAAAAATAAAAAACAAAGTTAATAAACACATATTTGCAGCATTTACACATATTTGACAGAAAAAGCAAAAAGCCTATATTATTGAAAACAGCAACAATACTTAAGACAGGGATGGCCTTTTTTTCTAGTTAAGTATGTCACATTGTCCATGTGTTCAACCTGAAGGTCAGCAATTCAACTTCTGTTCTTCTCTTTACCTTGTGACCTTAGAACTGGCACAGTCCATTTTCACCTTCCTCAATAATTGCTGGCTCCTTCAGAGTGCATTTAAACTTCACCATTACATGAACAGCAAGGTCTCACACACTTGGCACTATTGATATTTTGGGCGCTGGCCTCTACCCACCAGTAAGCACTGGGGTGGGTACCCCAGTGCAACCAAAAATGTCTCCTGACATTGTCAAATGTCCCCTAGGGGGAAGATTGCCCTCAGTTGAGAAGCACTGCATTAAATCACGTATTCCCAATGGGGGGGGGGGTATTATTGCCCCCAGGGGTGTGAAAATTGGTTCTTGTAGCACAAAAACTTTTTTTTAGAGATTACAATGATTTGTACCATAGTACATAAATAAATATATACTAGATCTATGGTACTGAAATTTCTTAAAAAGAAAAGTAACGGTGGTACTAAAATCTTACTGTGGTATTAAAACTGAGGAAAACATTTTTAAAGGCTCCTTGGAGGGACAATAATTTTTAAAAAAGGTTGAGAAACGCTGTTCTAGACATGCCCAAATCCTCAAGCTACGAATCTCCCCTGAAATATGCAAGTGAGAAGGTGATGTTTCTTAAAGTGTTACTTTTAGTCACACATTCAGACTATGACTTATCCGGACTCTATATACTACTACAGTATTAAAAAATACAAATTCCAGAAAAGCAAACTAGATTCCATTAATGTACGATCCACTTGTAATAATAACAGTAATCATAACAGTAGTGACACCATGATTAGTAATGATAACAGCTAAAATATACTAAATGTTTACCATGTGCCAGATGGCACAGTTAATGAAAAAAATTCTCTACCACATTTATTCATCACCACATTTTGTCCTCACCTTATTGTCAACCCCATTTAACCAGCCAAGAAACTGAGTTAAATAAGTTGCCCAAGGTCACAAAGGTAGAAAATGGTGGAACCAAGATTGCGATTGAGTCTGTTAGATGCCAGAGCCCCAGCTCTTCACCTTCCAGGACACTGCCTTTGATTACAAGGTGTCATCTTAAAACTCCTTAAAAACATCCAGTTACAAATGCTATTACATAAAGGGCTCAGGGCTTCTCCCAGCCTTTATTCCTTCAGTCACCTTACAAAGAGCTTTATCATAAATTCTGTCTAACAGGATTATAGGGGACAGGGCATCCTAACTTGTCCTTGAGTGATTGTATTACTACACACTGAGGTAGGAGGGCTACCTGTTCATTTGACTGCGTGGATGTGCACCATTCCACCCCCCACCATAACCACCACTTCATGTGCGTGTCACCTAAGCTGGGGGCTCCAAGAAGACAGCCACCATGCCGCCAAAATGCACACAGGACACATGCAAGGTTTATCCACTGAAATAATCCTGTGACCATTTTTTTAAGTTGCCAAAATTTTGTTCTTTGTGAATAGCAACACTTGCGTAAGAGACTAAGACAAATATTAAGTAGTTTGTACATTTACAGAAAACAATATGAGCATTTTGCCTCCATGTTCTAAAATATTAATCACAAAATACCAATTTTAAAAGATAAGTTGGATTTCTGGAAATCAGTGACCTGGCTTTGGATTTGTGGTTATATTCATTTTTACTTTATACACAGACTAGAAATTAGCCATGCTTTAAAATCACAGCTAACTCTTAATTATTTATAGTTAAACTCTGAGTTCTACCCTGGGCTTCTGACTTCTGGGCAGGGCCTCTGTCAGCAGCCTGAAGAAGTAAGAAACAAGCAGGTATTGATCTTACTGAGGTTACAGAGGTCAAAACACCATGCTGAATTTCAGGGGGTTTCTGAATCAATTTAGAATAAGAATCTGGTTTACTAATATATAAATGATTGTGGCCACTAAGTAACATAATAAAGTCACAAGCCAGGAAAAAAAAAAACAATCAGTTTCATTTCCTTATTTTGGAGGGAATTTCTTTTTATGTAATCTCTGTAAATTCCAGTTTCTATACTTACAGTAAAATGACACTGTATTTTTCACCAGTGACACACTTTGCTTCATTATGTTGTCTGGGTAGAGTTGGACAGAAAGAAGGAAATAAAAAAAGATAGAAGCAGAAATTGAAAACAAAAACAATACAGAAAATCAATGAAATAAAAAGCTAATTCTTTGAAAAGATCAATAAAATTGACCAACTTCTAGAAAGACAAAGAAAAAAAGAGAGGAGATACAAATTACCAATATCAGGAATTACCAATTATCAAATTACCTATATCAGTGATATTAGGGGATAGCACTATAGATCTCATAGACATCAAAAGGATAATAAGGTAATGCTATGAACAACAATAAATGTAACAACTTAGATGAAACAGACCAATGTCACCAACTACCATAACTTGCCCAATCCTATATAATAAAAGCCTAATATGCTAAGTGTCCAGTCATCCAGTCGTCCATTCAATGAATCAAAGTGTAATATGCTAGCCCTAACTGGTTTGACTCAGTGAATAGGGCATCAGCTTGCTGACTGAAGGATCCCAGGTTCGATTCTGGTCAAGGGCATGTACCTTGGTTGTGGGCACATTCCCAGGAGGGGGTGTGCAGGAGGCAGCTGATCGATGTTTCTCTCACATCGATGTTTCAAACTCTCTATCCCTTTCCCTTCCTCTCTGTAAAAAATCAATAAAACATATATTTTTAAAAAGTGTAATATGCTAATGATATGCTAAGGCCACTCAACCACTTGCTATAGCATCCACTGATCACTAGGGGGCAGAAGTCGACCAGCAGGTTAGCTTGCTGGGGTCTGGCAGATCAGGACTGAGCGAGATGAGCCGGACACGCCCTGGAGCCCTCCCGTGGTCCCTCCCCAGCTGGCCAACCTCCCATGTCCCTCCCCTGCCCCGATTGTGCACTGGTGGGGTCTCTTGGCCTTGCCTGAGCCCTTTTGCAATCCGGGACCCTCGGGAGATGTCCCAGAGCTGGTTTCGGCCTGACAGTAGAATGACCAGTCGCTATGACGCACACTGACCACCAGGGGGCAGATGCTCAATGCAGGAGCTGCCCCCTGGTGGTCAGTGCACTCCCACAGGGGGAGTGCTGCTAAGCCAGAAGCCAGGCTCACAGCTGGCAAGTGCAGCGGCAGTGGCGGGAGCCTCTCCTTCCTCTGTGGCAGTGCTAAGGATGTCCGACTGCCAGCTTAGGCCCGCTCCTTAAGCCATCAGTTGGATAGCCTCCAAGGGCTGAGGGCCCCCCCCACCGAGTGCACAAATTTTGTGCACCGGGCCTCTAATATGAAATAATCTTAATAGCCATATAACTATTAAAGATATTGGCTTCATTATTTACTTTTTAAAAAATATGTTTTTTGTTGTTTTTTTTTTAATATATTTTATTGATTTTTTATAGAGAGGAAGGGAGAGAGATAGTTAGAAACATCGATGAGAGAGAAACATCGATCAGCTGCCTCCTGCACATCTCCTACTGGGGATGTGCCCGCAACCCAGGTACATGCCCTTGACTGGAATCGAACCTGGGACCTTTCAGTCCGCAGGCCGACGCTCTATCCACTGAGCCAAACCAGTTCCGGCTTTAAAAATATGTTTTAATTGATTTCAGAGGTAAGGGAGAGGGAGAGGGAGAGGGAGAGAGAGATAGAAACATCAATGATGAGAGAGAATCACTGATCGGCTGCCTCCTGCATGCCCCCTACTGGGGATTGAGTCCATACCCTGGGCATGTGCCCTGACCAGGAATCAAACCATGACCTTTTGGTATATAGGTCAATGCTCAATCACTGAACCCCACCAGCTAGGCTGCTTCATAATTTTAAAAAATCCCTGAAAAAAAGTCTGTAGGACCAGATGGTTTTACTAAAGAATTCCATAAAACTTTCAAGAAGAATTAACACCACTTCTACACAATCTCTTCCAGAAAACAGAAGAGTAGGGAACATGTTCCAACTCATTTTGTGATGCCAGATTATGCTGATACCAAAAACAGACACAGGCAGTATGAAAGAAAACTACAGACCAATATCCCTCATGAACTCAGACATAAAATTCCTTAATAAAATATTGCCTAATAGAATTCAGCAATATTTATAAAATTTACACACCACAACCAAGTGGGATTTATTTTAGAGAAGTGAGGCTGGTTTGATATTTGAAAATTAATCAATGTAACCCACCTTATTAACAGGCTAACCAAGAAAAACAATAGGATCATATCAATTCATACAGAAAAAGCACTTGATAAAATTCAACATCTGTGGGTGATTTTAAAAATCTCAGAAAACTAGCAATAGATATAAACTTCCTCAACTTGATACGAACATCTTTTAAAACCCTACAGATAACATCATACTTATTGGTGAAGACAGAATGCATTTCCCTTAAGATCAGGAACAAAGCAAGGATGTCCACTCACATCACTCTTATTCAACACAGCACCGAAAATCCTAGCCAGATCAATAAATCAAAGAAAGAAAATAAAAGGCACACTGTTTGGGAAAGAGAAATAAAGCCGTCTCTCTCTGCAAATGACACGATGGCCGACATAGAAAATCTCAAAGACTCTAAAAAAAAACCTAAAAAAAACCCCAAAACCCTCCTAGAACTAATATATAAGCTTGGCAAGGTCACAGGATATCAGATCAACACACAAAAAACAACTGTATTTCTATATTTTTGTAATGAACACATGGAAACTGAAAATAAGGTTGAATAACCTTTACAATTGCTCAAAAAGAAGACATAACTAGATGTAAATCTAACAAAACATGTGCAGGCATTGTATACTGAAAACCATAAAATACTGATGAAAGAAATAAGAGAAAATCTAAATAAGTAGAGAAAAATGCCATGATCACAGATTTGAAGACTCAACAGGGTAAAGGTGTCCATTCTTCGCAAATTGATATACAGGTTTAACACAATTCCTATCCAAATCCCAGCAAGATTTTTAAAAAGATATAGACAAGATTATTCTAAAATGTATATGGAAAAGAACTAGAATAGCTATGATTGTTTAAAAAATAATAAAGTGGACTCACTCTACCTGATGCTAAGTCTTATTATCTATATATATAAAAGCCTAAGCGATCAGCCGACCAGCTGACTGACCAGTAGCTATGATGGGCACTGACCACCAGGGGGCAGATGCTCAATGCAGGAGTGGAAACCACAGGCATGGAAACATGGAACAGACTGGTGAGTCTCAGAGGGAAAGGGGGAAGGGGGAGGGCGGGAAGAGATTAACTAAAGATCTTATATGCATAGTAGAGGCTAGATGCACTGATTCATGCACCGGTGGGGTCCCTCGGCCTGGCCTGTGGGGATAGGGCCAAAACTGGCTCTCCAACATCTCCTGAGGGATCCCAGATTGCGAGAGGGCGCAGGCCAGGCCGAGGGACCCCACCGGTGCATGAATCCATACACTGGGCCTCTAGTATAATTATAGTTATCAGGAGAGTGTCATACAGGTGGAGAGATAGACACATGAGTTAATGGAGCAGAAAAGAAACAGACCCACATGCATGAAGCCAACTGATGTTGGGCAAAGGATCAATAGTAATTCAATGGAGTAAGGATAGTTGTTTTTTTCCCAAAGTGTGCTGACAACTGGATAGCTATAGTCAGATAAAATAAAACAACCTCGATCTATATCTCACTTCTTATATAAAAACTAGAGGCCTGATGCACGAAATTCATGCAAGGGGCTCAGCCCCTACCGCCGCCACTGCTGCCTCTACCCCGGCCCCCACCCACCTCTGTGGCACCTCTGCCTCAACCCCTGCCGCCATGGCTTCACCAGGAAGGTCGTCTGGAAGCATGTCTGGTCTAATTAGCATATTACACTTTTATTATTATAGATTAAGTCAAAATGGATGACAGAATTAAATGTAAAGAGTAAAAGCAAAACACTTTTAGAAGATAACACAGAAAGAAATCTTGGAGACCTAGGGCTTGATAAAGAGTCCTTAGACATAATATCAAGGGCATAATCCATAAAAGAAAAAATGATAAAGTGCCTTCATCAAAATTAACATCCTCTCTATGGCAGACACTTTTAAAAGGATGTAAAGACAGCTACAGCGTAGGAGAAAATGTGTAGTTTTGCAAACTACACATCTAGACTAGTATCTAGAATAAATAAAAGACTTAAACAGATATTTTACCATAAAAGATGTATGAATGGCAAATAAGCACACGAAGAGATGTTTGTTATTAGCCATGAGAGAGGAATGCAAATTAAGACCACAATGATGTACCCCACACACCTATTAGAACAGCTGAGTTGAAAAAATTGTGATAACACCAAATGCTGGCAAGGATGTAGGGAAATGATCTCTCATACACAAAGTCATGCACATAGTCATCTCTGGCCCATGGCCATGTGCTAGTGCTATGTTCTGAGTGCAATCCAATTATTACATTATATTAATACATTTACTGCTTGTGTGCCTCAGTGAAAGCTGCCCACACTCTCAGCTCTGGGTAGGGCTGTTTTCATGTCCCATTTCTTGAACAGGGTTATGAGAAGTGCAAAATGTCACAAGTCAACTTTTTACTCTCAGTGGAAAATTATTTGATCCTGTGTATGTTGGAGGGGGCAAAAAAAGGACTTATGAAATAGCATTTAAAAAACATGATTCAATCAGGCTCTGAGCTTCCAGGGTAACTACTGGGTGACCAAATAGGAGCAGGAAGTTATCTCAGAGGCCACTGAATGCAAAGATTCCCAACTGTGCGTAGGATAAACCTCCTTTCTTGTTCTTAATCCGCTACACAGAACAAAGATGTCTCAAGTTTCAAGCCAAAACTCTGTAAATTTTCTTCTCTAGATTTATATTACCACAGATGAACTGTTTTCCTTAACATAATTCTTGAGATTCATGCCAAGAAACTGAAATTCTAATAATCCCAAATTTTACAACATAAAAAAGACCCTAACACAGCAAGCCTTCTTACAGGCAGTCACAGCACAGTGGTAGTTAAAAGTGTGGACTCTGTGGCCTGGATTCATATCCCAAGCTGTCCACTTCTAGCTTTGTGACATTGGGCAAGTTACTGTTCTGTGCCTCGGCATCCCCAACTCTAAAATGAAGACAGTAGTGGTAGCTCCCTTAGAGGAATGTCATGAGAATTACCTTAATATACATGTGGCATCTTAAACGCCACCTGCAGCACAACTGTTAGCTAGTATGTGACTGTCACTGAGAAGCCCCACATAGATTCTGTAGATCCCCGCTCTAAGGCTGAGACATGCCAGCCCCCAAATGGTAGAAGTGGCAGTGGCCAAACCCCTGCCTGCCATCAATATGAAAGTCCCCAATGGGGGAGACTATTCTCTCAAATTCCAGTTTTCTCCCTAACTCCAAGGATGACTGCAAGATCCTTTTCTCTCCTCAGAGCTAGGTGTGCTTGGCAGCTGTCAGTCCCACGTACTCTGCATTCTAGAGAAGGAAACACAAACTAAAAGCCAGCACAGAATGGAAAAAGCATTGCCGCCTTGTGGCTTTGCAGAGGATTCTTCACGCCTCGGCACTACCCAAGTGTCACCCTCTGCAGACCCAAAACTGAGGCAAGTGACGAGAGCACCTCCAATGATGGAGGGTGCTCACTTAGAGATGAAGGCTCCCTGGGGGAAATCTGCCAATGTGCTCTTATTTCCTGTTGTCCTCAGGTCCAAAGACATGAGGGGCTTTCATACACCAGAGCCAGAGTTGGGTTGCAGGTCTCTTACTCCCTGTTCCTCAGTCCTCATTACCACAGGGTGTTGGAGCTCACCAGCCAAGTTTGGAGTTGACATACTCTTTTTAAAAAAGCAAACTCAGGTCAGTGCCGCTTCGTTCTGACACAGCAGCAAAACCACAGGCAGGCGACATCCATGAGGCTACAACCGATGAGGGATCTGCAGGAAATGTCACCTCTTTTGTGCACTCAAGCAAAAAGAGACACAGCAGTTTCCTCCTAAAACAAAACTCTGATTGTGAACATCAAACCTTAATTGTGAAATACCAGATGTTGCCAACAGCAATGTCCTCTCTCTCCTGCCACTTTAAGACTTTTTGGATTCTTACCCTAATGTCACTGCTCTAGAAGGTCCAGGTGTTTCTCATTCCTTGTGTTTTTACACCAACAAAAATTTTAACGACATTTCTTTTTTCTCCTGGAACATTCAATACTCTGAATTTGTATGGTTTTTCCGTTTTAATCTCTCTCAAAAACAAAATTTAAAAAACCTGTAAAAACCTTCCAGGCGCTAAGCTAAAGTACATCCTACATGCCCACAGTGGTGCAGACACCAAACTGGCCTCTATTTCAAACCAACCTTATATTAAGCCATGACAACATGGGTGTTGTGCCTCCGCCAACGATCCAGACGGTGAAGAAGACAATGAGGAGGGTGGTCGTGAACATCATCTGGCGAGCATAGGACGCTGTGTCTCGGATGGCCAGTGCAAATGCCATCGCTCCCCTGAGGCCTGCAGGGACCGAAGAGGAAGATCTCCTGGTTATACGGCCAAATGACAGCGTGACCTCAAATCCACTGCTGCCTCTCGGGGCTCATAAACCATATCCACTCGTATTTCCGGAGCCAAGCTGTTTTATTCAGAGAGAAGAACCTTAAAGGAATATCATGTTCTCCTATTTGAAGTTTTCTTTTGCAAAATGTCCAAATGCAATGATAAAAGCACTGCACTAGCCCGGCCGGTATGGCTCAGTGGTTGAGCATCAACCCATGACCCAGGAGGTTACGGTTTGATTCCCAGTCAGAGCACATGCCCGGGTTGTGGGCTCAATCCCTGGTAGGGAACAAGGCAGCCAATCAATGATTCTCTCTCATCATTGATATTTCTTTCTCTCTCTCTCTCTCTCTCTCTCTCTCTCTCTCTCTCTCTCTCTCTCTCTCCCTCCCTCCCTCCCTCTCCCTCTTCTCTCTGAAATCAATAAAAACATATAAAAGAAATACTGCACTAGTTTGTACAGCACATTTTAGAATAAACTCTTTCATTGCTGAAATAATTCTCCTGCTAGTAATATAAAATAAAAAGAAATATAAATAAGAAATAATTTAAGCTCTCCAAATCTGTGATCCAAGCATGACCAATGCACTACACAGTCATTATAAACATCAGAAACATGCTAGATGTAAATATGTCAAATGAGTATTTTTGGTTCATGTACTATGAACCACAAAACAGTTCAGCATTTCCCTAGCAAGGCCACACAGAGAAGTAACTATATAACCTGATCTACATCAGGGGTTGGGAACTTTTTCTGCAAAAGGTGACAAATATTTTATGCTTTGTAGACCACGAGGAAAAATTAAGGCTGTCATGTAGATCATATAAAAGAGAGAAAAATTTTCACAAAATTTGACGAAAATTACGAATATAATAATGAGTACAATTCATTCTAATACAGGTCTACTACTGAAAAGAAAGGAATTCTTTGGGGGGGTTGTTTATTTGGGGTTCAAAGTTATAAACTTTCACCTGTGAAAGCCATTCTGAGCCCTCTGGGTATATGAACACAGGCAACAGCCAGATTTGGTCCAGGCACCAGTTTACTGACCCTGATAATCTACATTAATGGGTATAAAGATTAAGTACCAACGTTTTAATGTTTATCTAAGTTCTTTTGTTCCTTCCCCATACCGTGCTCATAATTTTTTCTATAGTTAAGACTGAACCCATGGTCTTTAACACATATGTAGTATAAATCCCTATTCACCATGAGCAAGATTGTGTGTATATGAGAATGAAAATTATGCCCACTGTATCTGTTTGTAGATTTTCCCACCTTTTCCAATCATTTCACAATTAATCTGAGAACTTCACTACAATTTACTAAGAGTGACTCCACAAAAGTTACATAAAAAACTGAGCAAAGTTAATGTTTTCTATTAATCTGTGCTAGTGAAATATTTATACAAATCTATGTTGCCCTATAAGTCAGTTATGTCATTGATCAATCGATCAATATTTAAGCCTCTAAAGAAATGTTATCTTAAAGAAAAAAACCTGGAGGATCAGAAAGACAATGTGTGCTATATTTTTCTTACTTTTATTAGGTAAACACTGTAAGCAATATGAAAGTGAAACCTCAGGTAGGTCATGGCCTTGAAGAGTGAGTTCTCCCAGCAGAAACTCATTTTTATAGGAGATACCTTTAAACAGCGCTGTGTACTTCTCAGTCTTTTAGTACAGAAGGTAAAGCACATATTTTAAGTTCATCTAGGTGAGTGAGTTATGTCCAGTTCATTTTTCTCTTTCTCCCACCACCTTCCTAATATGTGAGGAGCATCTTGTCACTGTCCTCCTCAGAGACCTCTAATGGTTCCCAGCTCCTATATAAACCCAAAGCGGCACAGCACTGCAGCTTCTCCGTGGTCCTCCAAGTGTGGTCCTCAAACCAGCAGCAGCAGAGGACACGTTAGGAATTCAAATTCTCGAGGCCGCCCTGTACCCTCTGCTTTAACCAACCCAACAGGGGATTCCAACACAACCTAAAGGTTCATACCACTTTACATGTAATTTTCCTTTCCAACCTCACCTCCTTTCTGCATTACCCCATGTGTCTTACAGTTCTTGCCTTTCCAACCTGCTGCCTCCTGAAATCCATTTCTTCCAAGTTCAGTTCACAGGTTACCCCTTTGTGAAGATGGCCCTGGTCCCTCCTCTCCTCATTTATTTCATACCTCTTTTGTTCAATTCACCCCCTTCTCTTCAGAGAAAACATGTTGTACACGTGCCCCCACACCCCAGTAGACTGTGAGCTCCTTGCAGGAGTCTGGTTTCTGTATCCTCCACAACCGAAAACTGCGGCTTATAAAAAGAGAACGCTCAACAAACATTTGTCAGAGTGAGAGGAAATCATTATCGCAGGCTGTACATTTAAGGGCAGATGCAAATGAGTCCTAGACAGTGACTGCTTTGCTGAACAGTGCTAGTTGGTGTGGTTTCAGTATGACTCTCTGAGGCCCCCAAGAACTACTGCATGGCGTTAAAGGGCAGCTACTCACTTTGCCTCTTGTACAGCCTCTCCCAACGCCCCCGCCACAGGACAGAAGTAACCCTAAGGGTCACAGTAGCCTTTTGCACTACCATTTCCTTCCTGTGCTCTACAGAAATGCTCTAACTTGGGTCTCATTTATCAACTCTGACCCTTACCACCATCTACCCATGCCAACTGTTCTCTCCTTCCATGATCTCCACATAGTTAGTTCCTTATTGTCCTTTACCTTCTCAGTGGCTTCTCCATACTTCCTAGCTTTATAGTGAAGTGGGGGGGGGGGGCATCTGGGAGACAGTGTGAATGAGCTGGGGTTCATCTTTCTTATGAGTGTATTTTATTTCTTTTGCTCCATAGAAAGTCAGAGTTAGGAGGAACTTCAGTTCAATTTCATTATTTTACAAGAGAGGATACTGCAACAGGGGTGGAGATGTTGCATGACATGGCCCATATTCTTTCTCATTAAACACCTATTTTACTTATAATTTTAGATCTGAAGCCCTTCTTGAAAATTAAGGGTTATGAACAATCTACTAGAGAACAATTAAGCACTTTCAATACATACCTCCAGGCCCTTTGGGTGATAACAAGATGAAATAAATATGCAAATATTTTAGGGGATAATGTTCACATTTGATAGTAGTTTGCAAAGTCAATATTGTCAGTTTACCATGTACATCTGTCTACTCAGCACCACAGGGGATACAGAAGACCCAGAAACTTTAACCTTTCTCTTTTTATGAACCTTGTCAATACTTTAATGCTGCCTGCTTCGTAACACCCATTTTCTTGACATTTATACTGTCTTACCTGAAAACATCATCATGTGTTGAAAATTCCAGCCAATCTTATGTCTTCTGCCCAAGTTGAGAAAGAAGGAGAGTGGGTAGATATGTGCAGCTCTGCCCAGAAAGATGGCAACCTGAGCACCAGGTGGAGGTTAAGGGTCCAACAGGTTTCCAGAATGCCACCATCACAACCTCTGGGTGAACAGAGAATGTCAGGAATGCCGTGACATCTCATTGTGATCAGGAGAATTGCACAAAGAAGCCAGGCTGTCGAGTTTCCCTCAAACGAGTCTCCAAAACAAGTGGTATTCAATTGACCAACTTTCCCAACCTCCTGGCCCATTCGTAGCACATTAAATGCACCGTTGTAAATGCCTGATTTCATTATGCTGCTATGATCAATACAGTCTATCTTAAAATGAGTCCAGAAATAAGCGAAGGTCCCATGGAAGGGGTGGGGAGCTGAGAGAAGCAAACAGCGTGGTGGGGTCTTTTGGAAGAAAAACCACAAGAAGAAAGAATTACTGACCTCTGAATCAAACTACGAAGACAAAGTTTGCTGGGTAAGCTCATAAGCTGTGGTTGGAAGTGAACACCAGGGCCCGGAATGACCAGGAAGATCTACTAACAAGAGGTGGGGAAACTTGAAGCATTCATAATCCTAAGACAGCCCAAGCCGGTTGCTCAGTGGTTAGAGTGTCAGACTGAAAGGTCCCAGGTTTGATTCCAGTCAAGGGCATGTACCTTGGTTGCCGTGCTCGATCCCTGGCCCTGGTTGGGGTTGGGACATGTGCAGGAGGCAACCAATCGATGTGTCTCTCTCACATCAATGCTTCTCTCTCTCCCTCTCCCTCCCTTCTACTCTCTAAAAATCAATGGAAAAAATATCCTCAGGTGAGGATTCACAAAAGAACAACAGAAAACCCCACATAATACTAAGACACATTCATGTGCCTCACAAGAATCAACCTGGGAAGACTTTTCCACTTCAGTGGCTGAGGAACTGTACTGTGGAAACCAAAGAATTCAGGGAAACCAGTCATTCGTCACTTGCTGAATTTAGAACAGAGCCCAACAGAGAGCTCAACAGAGAGTGCTCACAGCCCCCATCACAGAAGGAAAGCACCGTGGGAGCCAGAGGAACAGGAAGCTTCCGTTTCGGCAAAGCACCAGCTGCCACAGCTGCAGCTGTTTCAGACACAAGCACGGGCAGAACTATCTTCTGCCTTCTCCGGGGTAAAGCACTGACTAAAATTTTCTTCTTTTGTGTTTTGTTTTGAACAAAAGGAAACAGGTAGTGCTTATAAAGCCCATTCTACTCCAGAAGCCATGCAGAAGTCCTCCCTGGTAAGCAGCCTTCAGGATTCACAGAGGACCTAGCTGGCCCTCCTCCAGGGTCCTCATCTGTAAACAAGGGCTGGGCTCTCACTATCTCTCACAGGATGCCATGCTAGAAATACAAATCAAAATGGCATGCAAGGTCTTTCCTCATCAAGAAAAACAACACTGATCCCTCAGACTTTTACCTGTTGGATTCTTAAAATATATTGTTATTGATTTCAGAGAGGCAAGGAGAGGGAGAGAGAGATAGAAATATCAATGATGAGAGAGAATCAATGATCATTTGCTCCTGCACGCCCCCTATTGGGGATCGAGCCCGCAACCTGGGCATACGCCCTGATGGGGAATAAAACCAGGTCCTCCTGATTCATGGGTTGATGCTCAACCACTGAGCTACACAGGCTGGGCTTGCTGTTAGTTTTTTTGACAGTCAATCCAAGAAATGAACCCCAATGGAAGCAGATAACTCTCTAAGTGCAAGGATTCTGATGTAGCATTAGACCATCACCACCATCTAGCTGCTTGCTGAGTATCACTTATTCCTGCACAAGAAATAAAAACTGAGAAGAAAAAAAAAGGCTTCTTTTTTGCCAGCATCCCAAGACCTAAGGATATCCATGAGGCCTTGAAAAAAGCAAATGTGAATGCCCAGCAATAGAGAACTCCTGCTCGGGATCTGGCAGTCCAGGCTGAGCTGGATTGCTACAGTTCCAAGCCTCAGAAAAGTTCACCCGAATGAAAACAACAGGGTCTGAGGCCAAAGCCCTCAGCTGTTGATCTACTGCTAGGTATTCACATCCTCCTCACTTGAGAGAAGCTAACTCTCAAAACTGTGTCTCTTTCCAGAAAACTGCACTCCCAGTAGGACTAAATGAAGGACCCCAGTGTTTTTCCATTTGATTTTTCCTTCCTCTCCCTTTTCTCTTTCTGGGGAAAAAAAAAAAAAGTCTTTTCCACGATGATATGTTAAAGCTTGGGTAAAAGCATGCTTATTGCCTACGAGCTCCCCTGAGCTGCCAGGAAGGGCTGCCATACCGGTGTGCAGTCAAGAGCAAGAGTAATAACCTTCAGGTTTTCCAGATGGGGAACCTCCCGGATTGGAATTCACTTGGCAAAGAAATAAAAATAGTTCTGGGGACAGACATGGTTGCCTACTGTTAGATCTGCTAAGAAGGGCTCTTTACAAAACAAACTGCTGCCTGCCAAGCACAAGTGTAATAGAAAGGCCATCTTACACAGAAAATGCAGAAATCCACGCCAGTCCTTTAAATCAAACACATTCAGCTTTATGAACCTTGTAAGCCTTCTTTTTTCTCATCATAAAAATACCTGAACTCACACTGGCTCAGCCACCCACCGCAAACAGACATTATTACTATAGCTTCCTCTGCAATGGTGGCGTTTCTGTCTAGAAAATTGTGGAACCGAAAAAAAAAAGGATACAAAAGCTCCAATGATGAAAATGGGGCTGAAAACGTGCTTCTGGAAGGTAAACAGTGCCAGGCCCATGTAGGAGAAGATGAAATTCTCTGCCAAGAAGTGTAACACCTCAAAGAGCTGCAGGGAGAGGGAAAAGGAAGCATTAGACCTGCGGGTCCCCTCCCCTTGTCGTCACAGGGAACTTGTGAGGACCCAGGGCTCGGGCTCACCTGCTTCGTTCGACTTCTTGATTCCACCGACAGGTTGTTGTAGGTGTAATGGGCTTGTGTGATTCCACAGAAAAGGACAGCTACAACACCTAGCAGGAGAGTGTGGGTTTGTTTTTTTTAAAGCAAAGGAATAAAAGGCAGCAGGAAAAATCCCTGGTGAAACCCAAAGTGAAGATAGGCAAGCCCAGCAGCCCCAAGCCGCTGCTCTTGAAGAATTCTTCCCTCCCGCCAAGCTCCCAGATACAGTGAGGGAAATGGTGGCCCCAGGGCAGAGAAAACCCACCTGTAAACCCGCAGGCTTCTGCCAGGAGGAAGGTGCTCCAGGACATGAGGAAGAACAGCGCGGTCTCCAGCAGGGGGAAGCAGTGCAGCTTGGTAAACTTGGTCACGTCAGCCCCTGTCAAGGAACTCATCTCCAGGAACACATACCAGAGTCACCAAGAATCGCATTCTATTAGCCCAGGATCCTCTTTCTAGGGGCCTTCCTTTCCCCTCAGCTCTTCTTTTGAGGGCCCCAAAGGTGCTGCTTGCTTTTTAAAGGAAGAAAAATCAAGCTTCCTAGGAGAATAGAGGTTACGAAGGGCTGGGAAAGGGGGAGGATCCTGTTTAATGAGTACCCAGGTTCTGTTTGGAATGATGAAAAAGTTCTGGAAGGAGATAGTGGGGCTAGTTACACAACATTGTGGTTGTACTTAATGTCACCGAAATGTACACTTAAAATAGCTATAAGGGCCAATTTTATGTTATATACATTTTACCACAAATTTTTAAAAAAAGAGTAATGTCTGGGGGAATGGGGGGGAATGTGGGGATAAGGACACATATGCAATAACTTAATCAACAACAAAAAATTTAAAAAAATGAGTAATGTCAAATCCCAAACACCATCAAGGCAGGGGAGGGTGGGTGTAAGGGGGAGAGATCAACCAAAGGACTTATATGCAAGCATATAGGCCTAACCAATGGACACGGACACCAGGGGGGTGAGGGCATGAGTGGGGGGGATGGGGGGTAATGTGGGGGGGGGGATAAGGACACATATGTAATAACTTAATCAATAAAAAAAACATTCATAAGTCACATGGGCCAGCTAATAAAAAAATTAACAGAAAAGGGGGAATTGCACAGTGTGAATTTGATCTCAATAAAGCTGTTTTTTGTTTTGAAATTAAGCTTTCTAAAGAAACTGCAAATGTGTTTTCTGTGCCCCTCGCAATGCCCATGGCTCTGAAAGGCACAGTCATGGCCTGAGGTTAGATCTGACAGTGCGGGGAGTGCCCAGGGATGGCTTGGGAAGATGAGGCTGTGAGACCTTGATTTCTGCAGGGCAGAGCTAAGCCTAGAGTTACACTGCAAACATTTCCACATCCCCTTAGCTAGGCCCTCAACTGTCATGTGTTTTTGTAATGTTCTTATTGATTTCAGAGAGAGGAAGGGAGAGGGAGAAGAGTATTAGAAACATCAGTGATGAGAATCATTGATCAGCTGCCTCCTGCACGCCCCCTACTGGGGATGGAGCCCACAACCCAGGCATGTGCCCTGACTGGGAATTGAACCATGACTTCCTAGTTCAGTGATGGCGGACCTTTTGAGCTCGGCGTGTCAGCATTTTGAAAAACCCTAACAACTCTGGTGCCGTGTCACATATAGAAACTTTTTGATATTTGCAACCACAGTAAAACAAAGACTTATATTTTTGATATTTATTTTATATATTTAAATGCCATTTAACAAAGAAAAATCAACCAAAAAAAATGAGTTCACGTGTCACCTCTGACACACGTGTCATAGGTTCACCATCACTGTCCTAGTTCATGAGTCAATGCTCAACCACTGAGCCACGCCAGCTGGGCTCAACTGTCATGTTTGACCAAAGTGACATTTCAGGAGCCCCCAAACCCCGTTGGAACAATAGATGTAAGACTCATTTCTGAAAGGAGGAACTGACAACTTTCTTTTTGCAAGTGTAACATCACACAATCATACCCAAGCAGGGGCAGAAAGTACAAAAAGGATATTAGAGCGGTCACAACACCAGTCACAGCTCCCATGGTAAAAGAGCCACTAAATATACCTAGAAAAATGCCAACTGACTTAAAAAAGGCAGCAGCATCAAAGGCGTGAGTATTCAGCCCTGCTGGCTGGTAGGCAACAATAGACCTGGAGTTTAAAAAGAAGAAAAAAGTGTTAAAAGACTGCGCTGGCTTTACACCATGGTGCCAAAAACTATCAACAAACATAGATATGTACAGTCCGCCAGGCACTCCCTATGGCAGTGGTTCTCAGCCTTCTGGCCCTTTAAATACAGTTCCTCATGCTGTGGTGACCCCCAACCATAAAACTATTTTCATTGCTACTTCATAACTGTAATGTTGTTACTGTGATGAATCGTCATGTAAATATCTGATATGCAGGATGGTCTTAGGCGACCCCTGTGAAAGGGTCGTTCGACCGCCAAAGGGGTCGCGACCCACAGGTTGAGAACCGCTGCCCTATGGTGTCTTCATTGAACTTAATCTGCAGTCACCATGCTACGCTGGTACAACATTCTGATTGCTGACGACTGGACAAAGCAATGTAACATTATCCATCAAGCTGAGAAACCTCATTTAGAAAAACACCCAATTCAATAATTTAACACTTTTCAGACGGGCCTCTGAGCATTCAGGAAGCCAGTCTCTCTTCCCGGGCAGACACAGTGTTACTTACGAGGACAGCACAATGGCAACAGCATCATTTAGGACGCTTTCTCCGAACAGAAGTGCATAGAGGTCCACGTCTGCATGTAACTCATTAAATATCGCCAGTACAGTGACTAAAAAGTGAGCAAAAGCACATCGGTTAGTTTCTGTTTCTAACCTTAAGCCATCGATGACAAATTTATAGAAGCAATTCTTATGTTCAGTGGGACAGGGCAGTTTGGAGTCAACGGCGCGTTGTCTGTCTATGGCAGAAGTGAGGATGGCAATCTTCCTAATCAGGATGAGTGGTGAGATGATGCTGGGTTACAATAACACTGCACTGAAACACTGCCCTTTCCACTGGAAGCCCGTCACACTTTGAAACAACCTCTATTACAGAACTTTAAAATACATAATCACAATTGCCCAGCCAGCATGGCTCAGTGGTTGAGCATTGATCTATGAAGCAGGAGGTCAGGGTTCAATTCCCAGTCAGGACACATGCCTGGGTTACAGGCTCGATCCCCAGTAGGGGTCATACAGGAGGCAGAAGATCTATGATTCTCTCTCATCATTGATGTTTCTCTCTCTCCCTCTCCCTTCCTCTCTGAAATCAATAAAAGTATATTTTTTAAAAGTGCATAATCACAATGAATACGATTCGGCTCTACCATTGGGCAGAAACCTTATTTTATTGACCACTGTGCTCCCAGAGCCCAGCAGAGGGTTAGGGAGCAAGAGAAGGCTTTAATGATGGTTTTTAAAATAAGTCTTTGTTTAGGACAGACTATACGTAATTACACTTCTCATAGTCTCCATATTTCTTAAGTGTTTAAAAATCAGCTAGTCTCCAGACCAGCAGTTCTCAAACTTTTGGCTTCGGGACACCTTTACACTCTAAAAAATCACTGAGGCCCCAAAAGAGCTTTACTAAAGCAGAAAAAAATATGTATTCATTTAAAACTACTAATAAACCTATTATGTGATTACATATTTTAATAGAAAGCAATTATATTTTCCAAAGCAAAAAAAAAAAAATAGTGAGAAGAGAGCCATTGTTTCATATTTTTTCACACCTTTTAAAATCTTGATTAATGTAAGACAGATGGTTCTTATCTCTGTTTCTGCATTTGATCAAAAGATAGTCAAGAGGAGAACCAAGATGGCGACATAGGTTAACGCTGGAGTTTGCTGCCTTGAACAACTACTTCAAAAGTGAAACCAAAAAACGGAAGGGACATCACCCAGAACCACAGGAACGTTGGCTGAGTGGAAGTCCTACAACTAGGAGGAAAGAGAAACGCATACGGACACTCAGAGGAGGCGCAGTGCTGAAGTCAAATTCTGAGGTGCGGAGTGCGCGGAGCGGGCTGGCGGCGGAGGGCGCGGTTGGCGTTTTCAATCGGGAGGGAGTCGCAGACTCTGAGCTCCAGATCCGGACGAGTCTTTAGGGACCCAGACTCAAACGGGAGAAGCGGGACTGTCTGGCTTCGGTCAGAGCGAGTGCAGCTTTCTCTCTGAGCTTTGCAGCGGGTGCTGGGACTCAGAGAGGCAGAGCCCCTGGGGACAGGACTGAGAGCCGCCATAACTGCTCTCTCCAGCCCACCCTGTTGATCCTGTGCGACCCGCCCCGCCCAAGCCCTGCACAGAGGCATTTGCCGGATAGCCTCAGGCAAACGCCAGATTAGCACCTCCCTAGAGGACAGAAGTTCTCTCACTGCTGACACAGCTGATTCTCATAGCCACTTGGTCTGGAGGTCAAACCCTCCCTGGAATTAGCTACAACAATCAAGATTTAACTATAAGACTGCGAACAAAGACCACTAGGGGGTGCACCAAGGAAGCATAACAAAATGCGGAAACAAAGAAACAGGACAAAATTGTCAATGGAAGATATAGAGTTCAGAACCACACTTTTAAGGTCTCTCAAGAACTGTTTAGAAGCCGCCGATAAACTTAATGAGATCTACAAGAAAACTAATGAGACCCTCGATCTTATATTGGGGAACCAACTAGAAATTAAGCATACACGGACTGAAATAACGAATATTATACAGACTCCCGGCAGCAGACCAGAGGAGCGCAAGAATCAAGTCAATGATTTGAAATGCGAGGAAGCAAAAAACACCCAACCGGAAAAGCAAAATGAAAAAAGAATCCAAAAATGCGAGGATAGTGTAAGGAGCCTCTGGGACAGCTTCAAGCGTACCAACATCAGAATTATAGGGGTGCCAGAAGATGAGAGAGAGCAAGATATTGAAAACCTATTTGAAGAAATAATGACAGAAAACTTCCCCCACCTGGTGAAAGAAATGGACTTAAAGGTCCAAGAAGCGCGAAGAACCCCAAACAAAAGGAATCCAAAGAGGACCACACCAAGACACATCATAATTAAAATGCCAAGAGCAAAAGATAAAGAGAGAATCTTAAAAACAGCAAGAGAAAGAAACTCAGTTACCTACAAGGGAATACCCATACGACTGTCAGCTGATTTCTCAACAGAAACTTTGCAGGCCAGAAGGGAGTGGCAAGAAATATTCAAAGTGATGAATACCAAGAACCTACAACCAAGATTACTTTATCCAGCAAAGCTATCATTCAGAATTGAAGGTCAGATAAAGAGCTTCACAGATAAGGAAAAGCTAAAGGAGTTCATCACCACCAAACCAGGATTATATGAAATGCTGAAAGGTATCCTTTAAGAAGAGGAAGAGGAAGAAAAAGGTAAAGATACAAATTATGAACAACAAATATGCATCTATCAACAAGTGAATCTAAGAATCAAGTGAATAAATAATCTGATGAACAGAATGAACTGGTGATTATAATAGAATCAGGGACATAGAAAGGGAATGGACTGACTATTCCTGGGGGGGAAAGGGGTGTGGGAGATGTGGGAAGAGACTGGACAAAAATCGTGCACCTATGGATGAGGACAGTGGGTGGGGAGTGAGGGCGGAGGGTGGGGCGGGAACTGGGAGGAGGGGAGTTATGGGGGGGAAAAAAAAGAGGAACAAATGTAATAATCTGAACAATAAAGATTTAATTTAAAAAAAAAAAGATAGTCAATATCACACGTTAATACAGCCTCAGGAAAACCCAATTCACTGTATACTTGTTAAAGAATGAAAGTTAAAATGACTACAAACGTATTACTACTATTTTCACATCAATGTTGACCTTATAGACCCCCTGAAAGGGGTTTGGACTTTCTCAACTTTGGTTCCGTTGACATTTGGGACTAGAAAATTCTTTGTTGTGGGGGGCTGCCTTGTGCATTGTAGGACAGTTAGCAGCATCCCTGGTCTCTACCCACAAGACAGAGTAGCACTGTGCACTGAGCATCTGGATGCCTGATTGTAGTAGGAGCCTGGGCACCAGCTCAGGACTGTTAGCCAAGATAAACAGCTATTTGTTTAAGCTGGTATTGCCAGGTTTTTCTGTTATTTGCAGCCAAAAGCATCACAAACTGATACAATTAGAAAAATAAACCAAACAAATGTTTAGCTTAGTGAATTATAAGCCAAACCATTCATGTAACCATCATCCAGTTCTAGAAATGGAACTTAGCCAGCTCCACAGAACTCCCCCATATGCTCCATCCCAATCTCAAACTCTTCCTTCACTCAAAACTAATAACCATTAACCTGATTTTATAGTAACTGCTTCCTTTCATTTCCTTATAGTTTGGCCACCCAATGTATATTCCCTGACAATATCGTTTGGTTTTGCCCACTTTAAAATTTATTTTTAAAAATATGTACTTTTTAACATCTCTTTCACTTCACGGGCCCCCCCCCCCTCCATTCCTTTTGGCTGACTCTCTCTCTTTTCATGATGTCCTATTGTTTAGTCCTCTCACTTTTAAATTTTCTCATAATGATATACACAGTTCTTTCATAACTTCTATCATTTTTTAAAATTTCCCTTAGGTTCTGTTGAAATATTAATAACGTTTTGTCTGCCTTGGGACCCTATTTTTCTGGTATGACTCCACTTTCTGTAACTTGATTATTCAGAATGATTACCTTCATTTTTCTGATTATAATATGTTTGCAAGAAGTTCAACCTCAATCCATTTCTGCTCCTCATATTAAGTCAGAGGTAGGAGGCCCAGCATAGATTTCCTTGTTTCATGGCTCTAAGGCTCCCTCTTCTGGTTTTACATTGAAGTATTAAAAACATGGCCTTTGGGTGTAGCCACATCCCCAGCACTCAGATCTACTTAATCTGCTCTCCTCCACTTTCTTAGCTTCTTTCTCCTTCAAAGCCCCATCAATCGAGGTCCATGGTCCTAGAAGTTCATGTATAGGGAGTGGCTTCCAAATAGATCTTCCCAGGGTATTTTCTGAGAGCCCTGGGGGCTCAGGTCTCTCCAGAAGTCTCACACCTCTAGTCTCCTTGCCCACACCCACCAACTGAAGCCCATAAAGTCCCTCCCAGTTTTACTGTTGTTATCTAACATGCCTATGAAGTTGTTTACTCCCAGTGGGGACCTCTCATTTTGAATGTGAATACTTATGGGAAATTTCTGGGTTCCCTGACAGTTAAAATGACCAACAGCCCCCTCCTCTCCCCTCTGCTTCCTCAACACATCTGCTGCTTCTAGCTCTAAGTCTCACTGCTGCTGCTGGTTTTACCCCACCAATGGGTAGTTGTGAATTCATGAGGCTACTCTGTCAGGTAGTTGTGTAATGTGGGTGAGACACATCCAGTCTGTTAAAGGCTTGACTAGAACAAAAAGACAGTAATGGAGAACTCAATCATCTCTCTGCCTGGCTGTCTTTCAGCTGGGATGTCAGTCTCCTCCTACCTTTGGACTTGGACTGGAACTATAGCATTGGCTTTCCTGGTTCTTAGGATTTAGGACTGCTGATCCTGGGACTTTTCAGCCTCCATAATTGCATGAGCCAATTCCTTATAATTTCTCAATTTCAATCTCTTTCTTGCTCTCTCTCTCTTAAACACACACACACACACACACACACACACACACACACACACACACACACCACATACATCTCCTATTTGCTCTGTTTGCCTGAAGAACCCCAACTAATACAAAACTCTACTAGCTTATCATTACCGTTGACCCTTAAACAATGTGGGGGTTGGGGTGCTGACCCCCTTGCAC